AAGGCTAGAGGGGATTCCTCTGGGATATTTAAGTTTGATTACCCTGTAAAGTTATTTTTCATCCTGATTTTACAGAGATGATTTTTACCTTTTTCTTTAATTAAAAGCCTTCTTTTTAAGAACCTGATTGATTTTTCCTTGTTTTTAAGATCCAAGGGGGTTGGATCTTGATCCACCAGGAGTTGGTGGGAGAAAGGAGGGGGATCCCCTTTGCCCAGACGGGGACCAGAGGCACAGACAAGCTGAGTCACTTGTCCGTGATCACAGAGAAAGTCTGTAGGTGAGGAAGGAACTGAACCCATGTGTTCCACAACCCAGCCTAGCATCCTCATCGCTGAGCCATCCAGCCTCTGATGTCTTCTTCTTCCCTCTGTGGCCCATCGGCACTGCTATAGCATTGAACGGGGCTGTCAGCTGGGGGAGAATTCTCCCGGCTCTGGCATTTTGTCTCACAGACAGGCTTCCCCACAAAAGTTCCTTGGGGGAGGAAGGGCTAGGGGCAAAAGTAGGGGAATGAGGAGTCCCTGTAGCAGGCACTTGTGTCCCATAGGCATCTTTTAGCAGGACGGGGAGAAGAAGGCTGTAAAATCAAGCAGTTCCTGGATGAAATCAGTGGAGTCACACCAGCATAAAAGCTGGAGTGTCACGGTCATGAGTCAGGCCCGTGGCCGGTAATTCTGCATGGTGCCATCAGGTTCACGAATGGTTCTGCGTAAATCAGTAGAGGGTGAGACTGGAAAGATGAAATGCAGCTCGGAAAGTGCACTGGGAAACCCCTCCCTGCGCCTGGTTACACAGCGTGTGACTCACTGTAACTCTGTCGCTTAGGGGTTCGATTGCTGAGACGGTGATAGCGGTACAAGCCCTAGTGTTTGCACCTGGACCCGAGTTACTGCGGCCCCACCAGTGCGCGTTGTATCACTGTAACGATAGCAGTAGGGATAAAACGGTACAGTTTTTGTGTGTAGACAAGACCTTGACTGTTAGAGAGTGGAGGATGGGGAAAGTGACCCTGATGAGAAGGTATTGCTCTGGCAGGGGGCGGGAGGGCTCACAGTTCCCCTTTCAGTGATCTGGGAGAGCTGAGAAAGGCTTAACCGTTGCTGATCTGCTTGTTCAATATTAGTGTACAAGCCGGCCATTTCTTTCCTGTCATGGTTATCGGGCAAGCTGCACCTTAGCCCCTGTTCTCCCCCTGGAGTGCACCCCTCAGTCAGGGCCGGCTCTAGGCACCAGCAAAACAAGCTGGTGCTTGGGGCGGCACATTTTTAGGGGCGGCATGGCCGGCGCCAGAATGCCGCCCCTGCCGCCCCTAAAAATGTGCCCCGGCCTCCCTAGCTCACCTCTGCTGCTGCCCCCGCTTGCGCGCCGCTGCTCCCCCTCCCTCCCAGGCTTGAGAGCCTGGGGGGAGGAGGCAGGGCTGGGGATTTGGGGAAGGGGCGGAGCTGAGGCGGGGCCGGGGGGTGGGGTAAGAAAAAAATGGGGGGAGGGGGGCGGCGGCCAAAATTGATTTTGCTTGGGGCGGTAAAAATCCTAGAGCCGGCCCTGCCCTCAATTGAGAGGCCTGGCTTCCTGCACCCCTCTCTGGCAGTCCATCTTCTCTTAGACTAGTTCTACGGGCTGCAGCACATCCCCTACCTCCCCTCCCTTTCCCTCCCATTTCCTGAACTGTATTAACCCAACAGGCCCAACTGAGTTTGGTACCTACGAGCCTTTTCCTCTGGCCGATTGCTGACTCCACAACAGAGTCTTCAAAACAAGCGTTGTTTATTCGTTCACCCAAAGGCACAAACCACACAGAGCAAAGGGTGAAAACAACAGGACCCATACACCTATTTCCCCTTGTCTATGATGCCTTAAACTTCCCTTGCAAGGATTTGTAAGTTCCCTTCAGTCCAGCTCAATTCGGCCTCTGGCTGGGAGAGGCAGACTCCCCTGTTAGCAGTATGTTCTCTCGGTCTCTGTGCATCCCAGTCAGTTGGGGTGGCTCCCAACCCCCCTCCTCGCCCTTCTTCTTTAGACCCGTACTTTTAAGATTGCAGGGTTCCCTTTGATCCTGGGTTTTTGGTCTGGGAAGAATACCCTTGGCTGGACTAGCTGGAAGCAGGCAAAAAGTATTTCCCCAATTAATGGTTTCCCCATTGTTTCCTCAAGGGCTCGCTGTGATGCTGGTAAACCAAGTGGGTCAGCCCTGGCCAAGGCTGTAGGCGTTAGCTAAGACCTGACAAACTCATCACTGGAAAACAAACCAGCTCACCGGTACGTTAGTGTTCTTCAAAATAGGCATTGGTCTTATAAGACTGTATTCAGTGTTTAGCCTCTATAACATTAAATTAAATTAAATTAATGGAGATGTCCTATCTCCTAGAACTGGAAGGGACCTTGAAAGGTCATCGAGTCCAGCCCCCTGCCTTCACTAGCAGGACCAAGTACTGATTTCACCCTAGATCCCTAAGTGGCTCCCTCAAGGATTGAACTCACAACCCTGGGTGTAGCAGCCCAATGCTCAAACCACTGAGCTATCCCTCCCCCTGCTTGCAAATGCTTGCAAGTTGCTGCGTGTTGTGATGAAGTGGGGGATGTTCTTGTTTTTTCCTTGTTTTTCCAATGGTTTGCATGCAGAGGGGGTGGGACTCAGTTTCCCTGGGTGTTACTGGTTTAACGAGGTGAGGGGAGAGGGAGTTTGTTCTTACAGAGGACCAGAGAGGGAACTTGGGACCCCAGCCGGTGGCCTGGAGGACGGATACCCCAGCGACTGGTGTCCGGCCGACCTGGTGGCCCGGAGGCCCAGCTCAGGAGTTGCAGCCGGTTCTGGCTAGTGGGAGGACAATGGGCTGTAAAGAGAGAACCCCGGTGACCGGACCAGGCGATTCCAGCCAGAGGGGGCCAGAGGACAGAAGAGAGGAGAGGAGGCCCAGATGACCCTGTTTACGACCTTGTTTACCTGGAGAGAAGACAATGGACAGAGGTGGGGCTTGGGGCCGGTGATATCAGATGCCCAGCTGGGAAGCAGGGGGGCTCTGGGCTGTAGAGGGGGAGCAGGCAAAGCCCACCTGGATGCAGAAAGACTGGGATGTGCTGGGCTGAGGGAGGCCAGGCCTGAGGCCCTGAGAGTTTCCTGTCCTGTGTTCAACGCTCAATAAACCCTCCTGTTTTACGCTGGCTGAGAGTCACTTCAGTCTAGAGAACAGGATTGCATCATCCCCTTCGGGGGGTTGGAGGCCCCAGGGGTCCAGAGCGAGGTGACTCCCTGAGGGCTCAGAGAGGTGTGGCTCCAGGAGGTGGAGGGGCCTGACCCCGGGAGAGAGTGGACCCCCGAGAAGGGCTGTCTCACTGAAAGGGGCACCCCCCCACGGACCGCACGGGGCCAAGAGTGGGCACGATCTGTGAGTCCGTGACACGTGTATTAATCTCACTTGTAATGTCTGTATTCCAGGCTATGAGGAAATATGTAAATTTTGCTTCATAACGTTGAAAATGTTTGCTCTGAACTTGTGAACCCAGGCACGGAAATCGTCCCTCCCACCCATTCAGGAGGCCTACCAAGATTAAAAGGGCCACTAAGGATCATCACAATTCAAAGGATTGGTGAAGGGCCCTATCACACATTGGAAATGCTCTGTGCAAGGGCTGGAAGGCTAAATGCAAAAGATAAAACAGGGTCACAAGAAAATTTTCCATTTCTTTGCCATTTGAACCCTCACAGGGCCAGAGATGCTAAACTAAGGCAGAGATCCCCATGGGTTACCCCGGTCTGCCCTGAAAGACATTGTGAACTGACAGATTACTACATCTCCGTCATCTTTAGGAACCATAGATTGTAACTCATTTGTGTGTATATACTTGCTTGCTTTAACTTGTAAATAACTCTCTTATTTCTTTTTCCTAGTTCATACACCGTTAATTATTTTATTAGAGGATAGGCTACAGGCGTTGTCTTTGGTGTGAGATCTGAGATACAAATTGATCTGAGGTATGTGACTGGTTCCTTGGGACTGGAAGTAACTTTAATATTTTGTGATTTTTGGTGTAAGTGCCTGGGTGACGAGATAGACAGGCGAGCCAAGGGACTGACTGTCTGTGACTTCATGGTAAGACTGTTCTTGTGATCCAGGAGTTCACATTTGTTACTGGTTTGGTGAAATCTGATTATAGAAACACACCACACAGGGTGTCTGCCCTGTCCTCGCTTACAGACAGCCTCCCAACCTAAAGCAAATACTCACCAGCAACCACACACAACACAACAAAAACACTAACCCAGGAACCTATCCTTGCAACAAAGCCTGATACCAACTCTGTCCACATATTTATTCAAATGACACCATCATAGGACCTAATCACATTAGCCATACCATCAGAGGCTCGTTCACCTGCACATCTACCAATGTGATATGTGCCAGCAATGCCCCTTTGCCGTGTACATTGGCCAAACTGGACAGGCTCTACGCAAAAGAATAAAAGGACACAAATCTGACATCAGGAATCATAATATTCAAAAACCAGTAGGAGAACACTTCAAACTCCCTGGTCACTCAATTACAGACTTAAAGGTAGCAATTTTGCAACAGAAAAACTTAAAAAAACAGACTCCAACCAGAAACTGCTGAGCTTGAATTAATATGCAAACTAGATACCATTAACTTGGGTTTGAATAGAGACTGGGAGTGGCTGGGTCATTACACAAATTGAATCTATTTCCCCATGTTAAGTATCCTCACACCTTCTTGTCAACTGTCTGGAATGGGCCATCTTGATTATCACTACAAAAGTTTTTTTTCTCCTGCTGATAATTGCTCATCTTAGTTAATTAGCCTCTTACAGTTGGTATGGCGACTTCCACCTTTTCATGTTCTCTGTATGTATGTATATTTCTTACTATATGTTCCATTCTATGCATCCGATGAAGTGGGCTGTAGTCCACGAAAGCTTATGCTCTAATAAATTGGTTAGTCTCTAAGGTGCCACAAGTCCTCCTGTTCTTTTTGCGGATACAGACTAACACGACTGCTACTCTGAAACCTGCCCTGTTTTTGACAGTCTGCCCTGAGGTTGGCACTCAGGGTCGTGAGCCACTCCAGCCAGCGTGACACTTTCCATATATATTATCAAAGCTGCACAGCTCTGCCATTGTTTCATTTCCTGTCGGTTCCTCCTTCACAGTCTCCTCTGATTTAAGTCTCTGCATTCAGGGTAATATCACACAGGTCACCAGAGGGACATCTGATATTTATCTACTACTCATCACCTCCTCATTCTCCCCTCATTCCGTGAGATCTCTTCGTCTCCCGTATGCCTGGTGGTTCATGGTTGCACAGGATGTTTGTTTGTTCACGTAAATAGCCCATGACAAATAAAGAGCAAAGAATCCAGCACAGTTGAGCCCAGAGGGTCTAGTCCTGCTCTGGGCCGTGTGGGTGCACAGGGAGAAGAGGTCTTTGGAAACTTTCTGACTCTCTGGCCCCCAGTTGAGCAGCAGGGCAGGATCACTACCGAGGGCTAGGCTGTGGGTGGGAAACTGGCTTGATGCTGGCTTGAGCAGCCTCACGAGGGCATGGCCTACTGGCTATATGTGGCCATATCTGCAGCACATGTTCTATGATCTGCAGCACAGGCTAACCAAGATTGCAGGTCCTTCCAACTCAGAGTGCCAGCTCCCACCTCACACTGAGTCACCCTGCCCCGTGACAACACGACTCCTTTCTTTGGAGTGGCTTCAGCTGGACTCAATTGTCAGACCATGGAAACGGTCAGCATTGGCCAATATCATATCCATGGCTACGTAGGGCTTCTTGATGGTCACTATGCTGCCCTCCATGTCCACCCAGAACTTCGTGGTGACATTGAACTTCACAGAGAACTCAGATGCTCCGACTTAGAAAGCACAGGCCCTGTCACTAGAACTAAACGAGAATCCCTATTAACTCTTAGCAGTATAGGGTCTAGGACACATTTTAGCAGTTCTGACTCTATCCAGTGCTGAGCATTGTTCTCACCCACACACGTGCTGTATGTTAACGTGTTACCCTGCATGCAAAGTCAAAAAGTTACAGAATAATAATTACAGAACCACGTGTGCTCTGAAGGGAAAAAAAGGCACTAAACTCTAATGTCATTTTATTGAATAAAATGATGTAATCACCCATCTGGAAGTTAAATTTATACCTGCCAACCTTAGTCATAAATGTCTACAGAAATATGCATTTTGCAAATCAATTAGCAAAGCTCAGAGGAGAGAAATACTTGTGTCATCTCGGAAGGCTATTCTCCTTTTGAACAGTCAAGGTTAGTAAGTAGGATACAATTTACTGGTGCTCTGGCTAATATATTCTGCTTGTGACCCTTGCCCTGCATTCTTTCTGACATGGTTGTCAGCATCTAGTGTCTGAGGTTATGTCTACACTACAGAGACTATACCGCTACGGCTAAATTGGCGCAGCCTCCCCTGTCTCCTGAACGCCGCAAACTAGCTAATTGCCATGGGCAGGAGGCGGGGGAAGGCGCTGATCTGCGGGGTCTGCCGGCGGGTGGAAGGCACTGGGGGTGGGGCGTAGGAGAGCAGATGGGGGGCTGCCAGCCGTGGACAAAGCAAGCGGCCAAATGACGTTATAGGGGAGCATTGCACAACTTTAAACGAGTATGTTCTGTAATGGAGCAGGGACTTAACATTGAAACAACGTTAAGCGAGAGGACATTAAATGGGGCGTTACTGGAATTAATGGGCACTTAATTAACCCACATCACAACAAGAGCAAAAATTCTGTCCTACGTCTTCACAGCCCCAAAGAATGGGCAGTCTGCTAGTGGAGACACTAGCTTTTACCATGATGTAGCTAGGTAATACTATACCCCTCACCTGGGGTTGACCTCACCTAGCCACATTGGAGTAAAAACTACAGAGCCTTGTCTCCACTCGGGTTTTACGGCAAGATAGTTAACTCGAGTTAGTTATCTTGCTGTAAAAAACACACCTTTGGGGAGAGCCTTAGCGTTCTAGCAAAGGAAACTAATGTAAGCCAGTGCTTATGTATCACAGAAGCATTTACCTTCCTTGTGTCGAGGATAATTCATAACTTTGTATGACTGACCCAAGATATTTGCATTTCGGCACTCATTCAAGGTCTTTGTTCTACAGCTAAAATCAGTGTTTTAAAGGTGACCCACAAAAGAAATGTTTAAAAATGGGAGGTTTTCCCTTTTTGGTTTCTTTGTGACATGTAAAGATGGCCCGAAAGATTTTTAAATATTTTTTGTTAGTTCCTGATTGTTTTTTACCTTAGAAATAACAGGAATGGTGAGTCTGGTTTTGCCAGAAGACTTCCTGGAGGTCTCAGATTGGGAGATTCTCATACCTTATTTGAAGGTGTGTGTGGGGTGCTGAGTCTTTCACAAAGACATTCTTTTCCCCAAGTGTTTGTTAGTCATATAGGTTTAAATAGGTGTTAACAAAACCAAGCAGACCCAGCATTTTAAAATGTCAGCCTACCCCCCAAGTCCTGCCATTCAATCTCTTGTAATGTCATGAGTCCACTAATTCTCTAGTTGTTCATAGAATCGTAGGTAGACAAGACCCGCATAAACAATCAGAAAAAAACTTTAAATACCTACAGGCCTTCTTACATCATAAAAGGAGGAGACCAATGTATTTTTACTTGCAGTTCACCTTTGGGTTTTGCATAAACATGCCATTATCCTGGTTTCCCCATTAACAATGTCTTTTCCCTCTATTTCTTCCTTGTCCAATGGACCAGTGCGTCCAGGCCTAACCTTCTGTGGTCACCAAATTACTAAACTAAAATCTTTCTGTCCCAACCAGTGCCTGCTTTGGACTCCTTCCCCATCCTTAGGGGAAAGTCTAACAGAATTTAATGGAGAATCCAAAACTTCCTATCAAATTTGTAAACCTCCTTATGGAATTTGAGAGGAGGGATATGCTCCTATTCCGTTTTAAGTCTTATTTGCACTGGGGACAGCAATGACCAGGGGAGGCTAAGCCTCCCCTAAACCAAGCCCTGACCTGCCGTCCATGCTCTGCCAAGCCGGTGGAAGGCAGGAGCTTAGCAGACAGCTGGGGCTAGCGCGTGACCCAGGGTGGTCCAGGGGAAGTAGGGTTGTGCTGGACGGTGTTCTGTCCATTAAAGTTTGGGCGTTGTTAGGGACTGTGTAGTGCTTTTGTACATGTTTATAAATAGAACCCTGTGGGTTTTCCAGAAGATATGGATTATGCAGCGCTTGCTTTACATTTATACATGTGACTGGGTGTTTTCTTGAACCCATGAGTTCCACGGTGCGGTACATTTACACAAACTGGTGCTACTTCTCCCCACAGGCCCAGGAGATCGAATAGGTCCTGTCTACTCCAAGCAGGAGCATGTCTGGTGCATGGAGCCAGCATGGTCGATTGGACAGTTGTACACAACAAGGGAGAGCTACGAATTGTGCTCGCCAAGGTGGGCAATCAGGAAAAAGGATTTAAAAAATATGTGGGGTGTTTTTAAGGGGTGTGGAAGTTCGCTTCCTGTCTCCATGACCCCTGGGTAGTGGAGTTCACAATTGTGGCCAGAGCGGCCACTATGGCGGGGAATGGGGCATTGTGGGACAGCTGCTGGAGGACTGTTAGGGTTGACACAGGTCACGCAGTGTCTACACTCGCACTGCCTTGATCTCAGTAGGTCGACTATGGCACAACGCTGTCTGGGGAGCCGGTTTTATTGCATTGCTGTAACAGCGTGCGTACAGTGGCTGGAGACAAATCTGAGCACAGACACATGCACAAATACGTCGACACAAGGCGGCTTATGTGGACCTAACTTAACAGTGTAGATCCATCTTGAAAGTCTTGGCCATGGTAATCCATGCATTTGTTACCTCAGACTGTCTTGTTACAAAACACTGTTCTTGATCCATGCTGTTTTCAGACTTGTCTACACTAGCAAAATTTTCACCGATAGACATACTGCATCAATGCAGGATGGAGTTTGCATCATTGCAATTCACCCTGGTAAACGACCAGGGTTCAGTGCACCAATGCGAACCCTATTTTACATTGATGCTTTGCAGCTATGAGTTTGCATTGGTTTGCATTGTATAGACAGGGCCTTAGTTATTAGTTAGCTTTCTTCTTTTCCTCTCTGTTTTGCATGGGAAAGATGATGAGTAAAGATAAAAGGAGCCTGTCAGCTGTGCTGGTAGCCAGTCCTTTCTCTGACTTGAATATCCTTTTCCTATCTAGTGATTTTCCATGTCATGACGATAGTGGAGGAGTTGAGCCGTAATTGCTCTGTGCTTCAGTTTCCCCACTTGGGCAGTGAGGATAATAAATATCTTTCTAACGGAAGCATTGCAAGCCTGGATTAATTAGTGGCTGTGATGCACTGTAAGATCTCCATATGGAAGGTGCTAGGGAAGTGCAGTATTTGGTCTTGTTTACACTACAAATACTTTGCCAGTATAGCTATATCGGGATAGCAATACCAGCAGAGCTCCCTAGTGTAGACACAGCTTCTGCCAACGGAAGGAGTTTTTCTGTCAGCATAATAGCACCACCTGCCTGAACTGCAGTAGATACACTGACCGAAGCAGTTGGTTGTTGGCATGGCTAGATCTGCATGGAGAGGGCGTGGCTTGTTCACACCTCTGATGGACACAGCTGTGCCGACAAAACATTGTAGTGTAGACTGGCCTTATAAAGGAGTGACGTCCTCCACTTTAATAGAGGCAAATGGTTCCTCTAGCTGCTTTCATCAATCCTGACAAGAACACTTAGAATCATAGAATCTCAGGGTTGAAAGGGACCTTAGAAGGTCATCTAGTCCAACCCCCTGCTCAAAGCAGGCCCATCCCCAGACAGATTTTTGCCCCAGGTGACTGCACATGGGAGGGGGTTGGGCTGGGAGATAGCAAAGGGGTGGGGCCAAGCTCAGGGAACGGGCGGGGAGGTGTCCACGAGACAAAGTCTCTCTCAAGATGTGGTTTACACTGTGAATCAATAGGAGACTGCACCTATCCGCTTTCTTCTCAGGCCTGGCCTACAACTAAAACTTAGGTCGACCTGGCTACATCACTAGGGCTATGAAACATCCACACTCCTGAGCAATGTATTTCAGTTGACCTAAGCCCCGGTGTAGACAGTGCGAGGTCAACGAACGGATTCTCCTGTCTACCTAGCTACCGCCGCTCGGAGAGGTAGATTTACTACAGTGGTAGTAAACCCCACCAGCCTCACAATTGTCCAAGCTCCTGGCTGCGTGACAGCACACACAACTGAATGGAAGGTCGGAGCCGTGCCACTGGGATCCACCACACCTGCTTGTGATTGAAGCAAGGAAGGGAGCACCTCGAATACTAAATACTTATATGTGAACCACTGACTGGCGTACATTGGGCCAGCAGATAGCCTCTGATCTGGTGGAACAGGGGCTGTGACGGACGTTCCTTTCCTCCCCCGACAAACTTCATCCCTTCTGCTGGCACCAGCCTCATCGGATTTGCTGTCTTCATCAGGTATGTTCCACTCTCAGTGAGAAGTGACCGGGCTGGATTGGCTGCCATGGGCTGGCCCATCACAACACGAGCCCGTTTCCGTTTCCACGACAGCAGGGCATGGCCTCTTCCATTGGTAGCAGGTTTGGATCTGCCTGAATGAGCGAAGCCGCCTGTGGCTCTCGTGGTTAGTGGTATGAGCCCCGGTGATGACTCTGGAGACACAAACGGCGCTGCTGTGATGCTTTTGGGTATTGTGACAGGCAGCGCTTACTGGTGGTGCTGCATAGTGGTTAGATACTTCGCTCACAACAACCTCCCATCTCTAGTGTCCCTTCCGATGGGTCACGCCGGCACCGTGCAGGTCTCCTTTCTGGCACAGGGTAACTTGGCCCTCTGACTGGCTCACCACTTGAGTCCGACCCCTTCCAGGGGGTTAACAGAGACCGACAAAATATATAAGTCCAATGTCCCCCACAAAAGAGAGAGTCTTCAGCCCACATCCAGGCCCTGTGGGCTGCACACCCTTGCGTCAGATCTTACAAGGTCTCTATTTCCCTGATCTCTGGGGGTGAAGGGATTTGTGCTACATTCACAGGAAGGTGGCTGGTAAACTGTGTCCTTCCTCTCCACCATGCTCCAGCCCTGGGCCCTATGAGAAGCAGCGATATCCCTAGGCCGCTTCCTACCACTTACCCTCCCAGTCCATGGCGTGGTCAAAAGCCTTGCAAATGATCCACCAGGAGATGGAGTGCAGGGTTGTCTAGTCCTAGGCAAAGGCTAATTCTTCCTCAAGGGCCTGGGGTAGCTGCTGCTCGTAGCCCTTTCCCCTGCAGCCAGGACTCCAACTCAGCCTTTACTCCAGAGTTCCCACGACAGGTCTATCCTCTATCCTGTTTGTCCCCTTCTGAGCTGTCTGGTTCTCTTTTAAGCTGCTCCTCCTCCAGCGGGAACAGGCTCTGCAGGTGCAGCGTGCCAGAGCCACCTATGGCCAGAACTGCTCCTTAACCCTTTCTACCCCAGTGTGGGGTTTACATGCCCCATCACAGGTATGTCTGCACAGGAGCTGGGAGCATATTTCCACGCGTGGGTAGACAGACACGTGCTGACTCTACTCAAGCTAACATGCTAAAAAGAGCAGCACGGTTGCGACGGCATGGGCAGCGGCTCAGGCTAGCTGTCCAAGTATGTAGCCGGGGTCTTGGATGGGATTGCGGTCTGGCAGACAGCCCGTGCCACCGCAGCCACCCGGCTATTTTTAGCATGCTAGTTTGAGCAGAGCTAGGGCGTGTACATCTACCTGCACTGGGAAGCATTGTACCAGCTGCTGTGTAAACATACCCTAAAGGACAGTCTCTGGCAAGTAGACAGCTGTAAGGAAGGTCCAGTGGAAAAGCTAGCAAGTGATCAGGTAACTAAT